GTTTGCCATATCAGTTTGAAGGGGAAGAAAAACACCTTTAACCTGATATTTAATTAATCTGGCAATATTTCTAGTTCTTAGGAGGCTTAAAACACCTAGTGGTATATTTTTCTGGTTTTAACTAATTGTATTTTAAATCATTCATGAAAATGCAAAGCATAGGAAATATTTTGGTTTTGTGAGAGTCAGTATATATTTGTAATACTTACAGTAAAAATATTACCTCCAAACATATTAGTCATGAATTCATTGAAATAATGGAAATAATTTAATTTTTAAAAGTTTCTAAGTTTGATATCATGCCTTTATAATAATAGTGTTTCTGCTAATGTAAAGAGTTGAAACTATTTTTTATTATGAAATATTTTGTTACTTAAATGTAGTAAGCAGCTACTGGAACTATGTAGCAGAGAATCACATTTTTCACTAGAACTTCTGTTGTATTTTAACTATATTTGTTAAGGAGTATTTAATCTCTGGTCTTTATTTCTCTATGCAACTTGGTATCTGCAGTTTAGAAATCATTTATAAGGGAAATTGTATTGATATTTTTCTCGCTCTCACTTTGTTTTTTACAGCCCATTCTTACTGGAACTGCAGCTGTAGGATCTGGTTTGACATGGCACAGGACTCTTCCATTATGTGCAGTTGGAGGAGACCATAAAATTTTCTTCTGGGTTACTGAAATGTAAAATAAGAATTTGCCTTCAATATGAAGCTTGACAGCGTAATGCCTTTTTTCTAGTAAAATGAGGAAATTTACTCTTTGTGATGGTTTTCATTTGGACAGCAGAAGAAAGGAGCAAGCAAGATATAAATCAGCTTTTGAAAAAATTGGTTATCATCCATCTGGTTCTTTGTTATTCCTATTAAAATAAAATGTACTTTTTAAACATGGTATTTGGTGTGAAATTTATTTTTTTTAGGAGTATTTAAAGAGATTTATTGTCCCAGCATCTCAATCTGACAATCTAACTCAATTAACACAGCTCAACTATCTGAAATTGTGCAGAGTACCTACAGAAAGAACACCTCTCTATAATTAACTTTCCCAACCGTGACTATCTTATAAGAAAAAAAATGCAGTAGTGTCATAAAATGTTGTTCCTGGATGTTTTGGAATAGTTAACTACTACCAGTGAAGAAGCTAATGGTAAAATCAGAATGATCATTTGAAGCAGTTTTATTTCTCTAATGACAACAGAGGGATTTACATCAAGCCTGTATTGTCAAACAACATAGTGAGGTTTTTTCCTGCTTATAGCCTTTTACTTCCACTCTTTACAGGAAAACCAAAGGCATTCTGCTTTCTAGAAATAAATTTTTCCTGTCCTTCCCATACAAGACCCAGAATGGAAGTAAAAGAAGACAGAGATGACTCCTGTCTTAAGTATCTTTTTTGCATGCTTGTGGAAGTGAAGGGATGTCAGGATGTTTCACTAGTATAACAGCTCCTTACAGCACTGTAGCCCTCCTTACTAGCTGTAGTTAGATTTTAAAATATTTGTTCCTATTTATGTGGGATACATAAAACCAATTTAGAAGTAGGTCATCAATAAATGAAATTACAGTCACCTTTTGAAACCTAAGACAATATTATATTTCTCATAATCCTTTATCCTTGAAAACTTTTGCTTTCCACCTGATGCCAAAATAAATGAATATAAAGCTCCTTATAAGTTCTAGTGGACTGGTGTGTGCCTCAACTGTAAAATAAGCAGATGTTTCAAGGTAACAGCCCTCTGTCTATCTTGTATCCATTGTCTGACCAGAGATAGCAGCCTTAAGGGAAGGTTTAATTCACTTGTAGCTGAAAATCTTTGTGGCTCTGGGAGGAAGAATTGGCCTGAGGCACTGTTATCCTTTTGGTGTGTAGTGAAACTTAAACAGACGTGGGTTTTTCTGTCCTCAGAGCAAACTTCACACAGCTCCTGCCTATGCAGAATATACCCACTATACTCAGGACCCATACAGACAAGGACAATATACACCAACTATGTGCAGGTGCACTCTCGAGTGAGACTTTCTTGGTTTAAAATTGCTTAAGACCCAAGAGGGCAAAGAACAGAAATTATTTTGTTCTGTAGTTAATTCAGAAACCAGGATGTTTGCTTTTCATGCTCTGTTTTTAAGGACTACTTAAAACTGTGTACCCAGGAATGATCTTGCCAAGTTCAAGGCTCTTCATTTTATACTGGAAAGAAGCAATATGGATATTTAAGTAAGTAAGTAACTAAATAAATAAATAAGAGAGCAGCTAATGTTTTTAGCATGTTTCCATGCTCTTTTGTACAGAACAAAATAATTAGTTAATCCTCTCATGTTGCTTCAGCAGAGTACTTGGAAAACTGAAACTTGACAAAGTATTTTCAGAGAACTGCAAAACATTTATCATTTAGTTTCCTTTTTGTTTTTTTAAAGATACCTACGTAATACCTAGCATTTGTATTTCTCACTCTAACTCTGAAGGGTTGATAATTCTCTGAACTGTTTGCAAGAATTATACAAATTCTGGCACACTGAGATTGAGATTGGAGGGGACATTACTTAAATTCAGCATAGAGAAAAATCATTGAGGCAATATCAGTTTCATATAGAAAACTTTACTAGAATACCATTTGCAAGCATGGATTTAGAAGACTCCATGGGAAATCAAGCAAATGGTAATCCACACTGATATTTTCAGCTGTTCATTGGACCACCTTATTAAAAACAACTATTTCCCCTTCTGGAGGATCAGGTGACACTACGTCTGGAAATATTTTTGGATCAGCTTTTTGTTTCTGTTTAACTTGTCTCTCAGTTGTATAGCTATTTGAGTTCTGGGCTGACTGTAACCTGAATGTGGTGTCCTGGGACCTGTAACAGTATATAAGCACACAAGATGCATATGAACATTGTAAGCTTCGGTAGCACTTGCCAGTTTTTCTCAGCTTGTGCAGTTTTGTTTTGCAGTTGACCCGAGGCTATGATTCCCTGTAACGTATGGAGCAGATCAGTTTCAATGCTTTGAAACCCATATTCTTGCCTTTACTTTCCTGTGTACCCTATTTACAAGTCAGGTTTTTTTTACCAATGATGAAGATAGAGTTCTGATCGGTTTTCTGTACCCCAGCTTTTCCCCTCCAAGTTAGCCTCAGCATCTGGAAAGCTGACATCCTCAAAATACTAATGTTCAACCAAACTTCATTTTGGTAACTCTTAAACACTCTTCAATCTCTTTTCCTTCACTGAAAGGTGGATCTACAGGACAGGGCCTTTAAATGACCGTGTATATATGTACACATGCATAGGGTATAAACTGCTGGCAGTTACATTCTGTACAGTACTGATTCCTCAATCTGACATTTATCATGCAGCATAGGTGCTGGTAAAAAAAATACATTTTCAAATCATACACACTATAAATCTAGATGTTATCACTAATTTTTTTTTAATCCTCTCCTTGGAAGTTCAGTCATTTATATTTACAGCTGAACAAGTTAGTTCAATTAAGACTTTGTTAAGAGGCTTTGGAAAATTTGGATAATTTTCCTCCATTCTCTGTTTTTCAGTTTTCATTTCCTAACTCCAGCTGGGACGAAAAAGTGCTATGTTGCACTTTTTATGCAGTATTTTTGGGCAAATTAAAAGCAGGAAGTACCAGAAAGTTCACAAAATACCATATTCCTGGGAGATTTCTTATCCAGCTTTACAGACCAAGACATCCAGATAAAATCTGGCTATGCATTTACATTCAGTTTCAGTGCCATTGCCTGGAAAAATTGTATTATAGAAACTTAATGATAAATGAGATTAATCCTTCTTGAATATAATTTAGTTGGAACTTTAAAGTAATTATAAACAAATAAAATAGTGGCAAAATAACTTAAGTTCAATAAACAACTCTGTTGCCCAACACAAATTTACAGAATTCCTTTAAGCTAGGAATGAAAAGCTAAACCCACTAAATTTTGTAGGTTAGCCTGCTGCTTGCTTATCCTTTGGGAGAGGTGAGAAATTGAGCCAACAACATGTCAGTGCTCCAAAGGAGAGTATGAATCACACATTGTTCAATAATTCAATTAGCATGAACAAAAAACCACATTGTTCAATAATTCAATTAGCATGAACAAAAAAACTTTGCTATACTGCCTTAGTAATAGAGTAATAATGATATGCATATGAGACAGCAGGTTAGTAACATTGTGGAAGTAATAAAGCCAAAAAAGCTGCTTCAGTAAATAAATGAGAATTTTATGGCAACTTGAGTAACAGAACTAAGTGCTCTGTGTGCAGCTTCCATTGATTCTGTATGTGGATTTGTATAATGCCTTGGCAAACAACGATTTGGAAGTAAATTGAGAATTTTGGTAAATTTTAAACCAAAATTAGCATAGTACATTTGGGATCTAGTCTTCAAAGTATTACATTAATTAGTGTGTCTTTATTCATCTCATCACAAGAGAAGTTTCCACCTGAGAGCCTCAGACTATGATGGTTTCTTAACTGCCCTGAATTTAGGAGGGTTCATTAAATGCAGCAGTATTTAAATGTAACCATCTAAATATAGAAGCCCGGTACAATATCTTTGGATTTACTGCTGCAAACAAGGACTCCAGATTTGTCTTTTTTCGGAAGAACCCAGAGCCATTCAGCGCTCCTTATTTTGACTCCCCACATCCAAAGTGCGGCATTTCCCCTCTCCAATTACGTGTGTGCAAAGGCACACTGCCTTTTCTCATCATTCCCTCGCCGTGTCACCGCCTGGGACGACACTCCCCAAACAAACACCACTACGCAGGGCCCCGTCCTGAGGCAGGGAGCGCTGGGTGTGACCGCACCGGCATGGCCGGGCCCCTCAGCGGCTGCCACACTTGCATCGCAAAGCGGGGGCAAAGAAGGCAGCCCAGAATCTCGGGGTTCGTTTGTCCCCGGCTTCGTCCCCGGGCCCTGAGGGCCGGGACTGCGTTTCCCAGGAGGAAGCGCGCCCCGCCCCGCCCCGCCCCGCGCAGCTCGGCGTTTGTTTCCGGGCCGCGCTGCGGAGCGGCGCTGCGCCGGCCCGGCCCGCGGCCATGGACGAGGACGGGCTGCCCATCGTGGGCTCCGGCATCGACCTCACCAAGGTACGGGCTGCGCTCGCCCGGCGCCCCGGGGCCGCCGCTCCTCCTCCGCGGCGGCGGCGGCGCTGGCCCTGGTGCTGGGCGAGCCCCGCTGCGGCTCCCGGCCCGGCCCGGCGGCGGGCTCTGCTCCTCACCCGCTCTCCTCCCGAGGCGATTTGCTGCAAGTTGCGTTTAAAGACTAAGCCGTTTCAAACATCGACCTGGGGAGGCAAATCCTGTACAAAGCTGTGTATTAATTTCTTTAAATGTTGCAGAAGCTGTCTTTTTAAACTTAGTTTTCTCAACAGAGAGCATAAAGAGAGGATAGTTCCAGTTGACCCAGTGATTCTTACGTACTCTGCGCCACCCTAGAGATTTCTGCTAAGGTCGTAAGCGCTGCTTGGCAAATTTTGGAATTTTGAAATTTTGGAACCACAGAACTGAACTCCAGCAGATGCTGTTGTACAGTGCACAGGCTGAAGACTTGAGATAGTAGCAACAGAAGTCTGACAAAAAGGATGTTTTAAGATTCCCATAGTGAACTGTATATTGAATGCACTGATAAATCAGTGACTAAAGAAGAGGTGAAGACCAGAGTCACTGTATTCACAAAAAAAATGCAGCAGAATCTTGGCTGCCAATAATACTCTTCGTAATCTTCCACTTAAATCAATGACAATTTCGTAGGCTGATTTCCTCTGCAAAGGTTAAGACTTAAAGCAATTCTCCAAGGTTATTAACCCTGAGGCACTAAAATTTTAGACATAAACTTTTGTGTGCAAATTCCTGATTCCAGTCTTCTGTAATGGTTTAAATAAAAATGCCAGTTCTGTGTTACAGTATGACCACCATTCATTTGGCAAACTTAAGAGTCAACATTTTAGTCTGAAAAATATGTGAGTATCTAAATTGATTTGGAGAATAATTTTTGGCAATTTTAGGGTAGTCTGGACTTGCAAATGAGAACCAGTAGGGTAGCCACTAAATACTTACACAGCAACATCACTACACTTCAGCTTTGGTCATGGTGTTAGTTGTAACTGAGTATTAGTATGGCTGGCCAAATTTGGTTTTCCTTCTTAAACTCCAGAAGGAAAGATTCTAATTTCCCCACTGTTTCTATAAAATCATTAACATTGACTTCTGGGAATATTCACAATTTCATCTAAAGATAAAAGTCCTTCATTTCTTGGGTTTTGTTGCCTTTTCTATGTGTCCTGTACATTCTCAGCTGTCGTGTTAGTAGATTTTTAGTGGCAAAGGATCTGTATGAATGCATATGTATGTTAGAAAATGGTTTATCTATGTATGCAGTCATAGCAGGCACACTTAAGACAGATTTCCAAATAATTTATTCTAAAAAATATACATTTATAACAGATATTTCAGTCCAAATTTGGAACTTGACACTGATTTGTAACCTAATTTTCCTATATTTTTTAATGCAGGTTCCTGCTATTCAGCAGAAAAGAACTGTAGCATTTCTAAACCAGTTTGTTGTTCACACAGTGCAGTTTCTGAACCGCTTTTCTACTGTTTGTGAAGAGGTATGTTTATTATTTCCCCAGCTGTCCCTTTATACATTTAAAAAAATTCAAGAAATGGGAACCACTCATCTAAATATTTTTGATGCAGTAATACTGGTAGCTTAAACCAAAAATGTAGTCTGCTTTCTGTTCGAGGTTTCTCTTTAGTAAATGCTTAAGACAGAATTTTTCCCCAAGGGATCAATATCAACTCCTGGTTGTGCCACACTGCATCCTGTTTTCTTAAACTTTTGTATTTGGCACAGTCTTTGAACTTTTTGATACAAGGAATTTATTCTGAGCAGCTTTATCTCTGGTTCTTATCTTGTTATGAGAGGAAGATGCCATGTTCTTGCAGTGCATCAAAACTTACTTTCAGGTTTTATCACCTTTAATTTAAAAGAGTCATACACTAAGCACTGAATGTAAATAGTTTTTATGTTGAAAAAAGAAAATCTTTGGCAAGTGATTAGTATAGAAATGAAGCCCTTAACTTCAGTTTGCTGTAAAAAGAGAGAAAAATGAAAATAGGATTAGTACGTTTATGTGATGACTTTAGAGTCAATGGAAATACATCAGATCAACAAGATTAGATTTGTCCACTGAACAGGACAAGAGTCCTCCTTGTAAAAAGAGTGTTTTCTAATGTGGCTTTGAGGGTAACCTTTTTGTCTTTAGAGGCTTTTTGTACTTCTTCATTAGTTTATTCAACAAAGAATGCTATACAGCTCTAGCCAGCTGAGCCAGGGCAGCAGTCAAATCCAATTAGACTAAGCCATGTAATCTGAGAAATTCCGTTATTTGTTGGTGAAGTTGAGAGCCAGACGTGTAACAAGTATAAGATTTGGTTATTATATGAATATATGGAGCTTCAGAGGGAAAAAAGTAATTTTTCCTAGGTTTTTAAACTTCCTGTAACTTGATAGGTGGGACAGTGTAACCGCCTGGTGACTCTGTTGTCAGTTGTCCAAAACTCATTTGTGACCTGATATCAGTATTCCCTCTTCCACAGGCCCTGTGGAAACCAGAACACGTATATTTGAAGCCACCTTGAGCACACAGCAGGACTGTGAAGTCTGCCTAATAAAACAGTTATTAGTTAACCAAAATGTATTGTTACTCAAGAGACTAAATAGTTGCTTTATATACTCCTTGAGAAGTTTTTCATATTCATGAAGTACAGAAGTGTTTTTAATGTGAAAGGTCGCAGTGTAAGTCAACAGAAGCCAAGAAACGCAAAATCAGGGCTGACATCCTTAACTCTAATTTTCTTGGCTCTTGTCTAGTCAAATAGACACATAAAATTGCATAATTGTCTTTTGTACATCTTTCCTCCCCCTTATCCAGTTAAATGTAGGACACATAGTTCCTTCCAATAGGAGCTGACTCCTCTTCATGAACAAAGGACCATCTGTAAACAAGTCAGTGCTCTATCCAAAAAGACTAACTCCTGTCAGTCTCCTGCTTTTTCTAGCATATTGGCAGAACTGCCATTTTCTTAGGGTGTTAAAGTTCTGCTTCAGAGCCAGGCAGAATCTTGCCAAGGTGCCAGAAAGCTGTCAGAATGGTACATATCTGCCAGCCAGCACTCTAGCCAACTTCACTTGGACAGGTCTGGTGGAGTATGGTAGTGATTAGTTAAAAGACTGGCAGTTCTTATGGAGTAATTTAGAAAAACTTAAGTTGTATTAAAAAAAAAAAAGTCAAAATATGATTGAGGTGCACCTGGAGCATATAGTGTCAGTTTAGTTGTGATTCATTGTGAATTTGACTGTATAGGACTTTGAATCACCTGCTGTATTAATTATAAGATTGTCTCTTGGTATTTGCTCAGGTACATACACACACATTATCTCCTTTCATCTTCCACATTTGGAAAAACCTTTGAAGAAAGATCTTTTGGTAACTGGGAGAGCATAATATGTCTACCATTATTCTACAGTTGCCCAAAGTAATACCCTATATACTTTGGCTTTCTTTTGTAAATAATCTGTCTTCATTTCTGTCATTATATGGGAAAACCAACTGCAGAGTAAAATTATTTAAAATTTGTACTGCTGTAGCTACTGTTCTAAAAAGAGTTGTCAAGAGTTGTCTTCATTTATTTCATAATATGATAATCTTATTTACACTGTACTCTGCCTTCAGCAGGGAGAAAAGTGATTTTTTTTTTTTAACTATATGCAAACTTTTATATGTCCAAGTGCATATGGGAGTGTTTTCACATCCTAATTGTTTTCTGTTGCAGAAATTGTCAGCGCTCTCTCTCCGTATCCAACAAATTGAAACCACACTCAATATTCTGGATGCAAAGGTTTGTATGGATATAGACTTCATCTTCTAACAGTGACAGCCTCCTAGATTATGTGAACTAGCTTCCTTTTTAGAGTCTGAATTGAGAAAATAAGTTTTCATAATGATTTGAAGGAGCTAATATGAAAACCTGATATCAAAAATTCTCTCTTTAACTCTCTTCTCTAGTTAATGCCTTACTACTTGTACTGTGTGACATTTGAATATGTAGTTGATACAGAAGAAAGGAACCAACAGTACCTAGTGGAAAATTTGGGCTTGTTAAGCATGTGGAACGGGAAGGAAACACTTTTTGCCATACAAATGCCAATAAGAAAATTCTTACCCCCTTTGTAAAACAAAAATATCTTTGTATGATACTGATAAAAGTAGCTAGAGAGAAGCCTTGTAATTCTTTTGATACTGAAATGTGAGCAGAACTGGATCTAAGCTAATGTAAATTTGTTTGATTTACTTCTTTAGCTGAAATTACAAAAGATCATAGATAGGAAATACAGCATATCATTTACTTGGAAAAAAAACCTGACAAAATCCTGAAGTCAGTAAATCACCCACTATGGAATTTTAACAAGTTCTTTCAATAATCATGGAGGCAATTTCAGTTGGCTTTTCTGGGAGGAAGGGTGGGATATTTTGAAAGTGTTCATTAAGATGGCATGGCTCTCGTGTGGTTGATAAATGCAGTAGCAAAATACTGGGAAGGTGTGGAAGTCTTTTCCTGTTCTGCAACCCTGTGTTGACAGTGAAAGTTTTTATTGTAGAAGGCAGCTGGATAGAAAGATTTTTTTTTCCCCATCAAAATGCCAAAACTAGGGGCAGAAACTTAAAATTTTACTGATGTAAAACCAACCTGGAAAATAAGTGGTAAGCAGCATGCTGCAGATTTTGTTGTACCTGTAAGTCTTATGAACAGCTCATTGCTTATTTGATGATGTATTTTGCATTCAGTTATCCTCGATTCCTGGCCTAGAAGATGTCAAATTTGAAGTTTCCAGTGCAGATGTGAACAGTGTTACAAATGGTCCTGTGGCACAGGCTGCTACAGATCAACAGACAGCTGGATCACCTCAATCTGGAGTAAGTAATAAAGCATAACTCATTTCTTGGAGGAATAGAGCTCTCCAGGTCAAGTTTTTAATGTCATTTGCAGTAGATAGAAGAAGCAATTCTATTGGAAGTGAGCAATCAACTCTAAAAGTCTAAGACTAGGCTTTTCTCTACTGGCACTGTTTTAACAAGTGACTTAAATAAAAAAAAAAAAGGCTATACCCTTTATTAATTATGTGACTTAAATAATTAGAACTAACTCAAATCTAATGATAAATTTCTCCTTCCTTTCTTTCAATCACACTAAAATATGAACATGAATTACATGGTGCTGGCAAGGTCATGAATGAAAATAATAGTTCAAATCACATCATTGCAACTCTTTCTTCCTTTCATCAGAATGTGAGCTTTTAGCTCAAATTGGAATTTCTAGCATGCTTTTTTCTAAAGAGTTTATTACATTGAAGGTTTTCTGTATATTATCCTCCACATACAGTAAAGGTCAGCTTAATACAAGTAATCAATATTTAAGATACTATCCCTGCAACTAACTTAGAGTCATTTTGGGGAATTTCATGTGTGTGGTTGGTTGATTTTTTAAACCAGACATTTGAATCCCATGATCGATCACCACTTAACTAAGTGAGCCTTTCTGGCTCATTTGTAGATGGAGTTCTTTTCCTGGTTTCCCCTAACAGTTTCTTCTCATGGAATCCTCAATTCTGATCTATGCTCATTCTCTTATTTGGTGGCAGTTGCTGTGGAGAAGCAGTAGCTGGAGCACTCTGCTGCTTTTGCCTGCCTGTCAAATATTGCAACTCTGATTTGCAGGCAGCAGTAGGGGAGACACTGGGCAGCATTGCATGTTCCAGCCCCATTAGAGAATGACTCACCATGAGTTCATTTTCTTTAAAGTGTTCCTCCTCTCAGATATGGAAGTATATAAAGTATATTTAAGTATATAAAGTTCATATATTTCTGAAAGGATGTTCCCAATGCTGCTTTCAGGTGGTTAGTTTTGTAGAAAAAATAAAGTTTTCTGTGTTATTTTAAAAGTTCTAGAACTTGTCATTTTTCATTTAATTTAAATTAAATACTTTCAAGGAATCTTTGATTTCATTACATTGTCCTTTGAGTAATGATTTATACTCAAAAGTATAGTTTAGAAGTTACATGGTATGTGTGGAACCTTTGTCAGCAAATCAAATATTTTAAAGAAAAAAGGCATTGGACTACTGGGGGAAATTTATAGATATACTCCTTATAAATATTTTTTATAAAAAGACCATTTACATTTAATACTGTGATATTTATTAAATGCAACTTAACAGGGTTTTTAGGGCCTTTTTGGTTTTTTATGTGTTGTTCAATAACTTAAAATTGTATCTAAAAGTAGAAAGACACACTTGTAACAGTGAACAACAAAAGAGCTGGATTTGTCATTTCATACATCCAGGAAACCTCTAGTTTTGTGAATGTAGATCAGAATAATCTTGATGAAAAAGAGTTACTCTTTACCTTAAAATACTCAGTTTTATTGTTTGGAATCTCTCCATGGGTGTGGTGTATGCACTTAACCATTAAAGGGTTTGTTCTTCACATACAGCAGAACAATACACAAGAGGAAGGGTTACAGAAGACGGAGGTAGTAACAGAAAATGTCACAACTGTGGCCAAGGATCCAAGATATGCCAGATACCTCAAAATGGTACAAGTGGTAAGTCAGTTCTCATGTCGTTCTTTGGCTAGGATGTTATTTTTTGGTGGAATGTACCGCACAGCTGTAAGCGAGCCTTAAATGTCGGAAAACATATATTGCAACAGTAATCTTTAAGGTAGGATAACATCATAATATTCTAGCACATCTTTTCTAATAAATGAATTAATGCAATATATTCCCTCAGACAGCTTCTTCTGGCAAGATCTTTCTGCAAAATTCTGCTGGTAGACTTGTGAACTGAAGGTGTGAAATGTGTAAATGCAAAGTGATAGTAGCCGGAGGCACAGAAGATGCCACAGAAAGTGGAATTGCCCTGGCAAATTGGAGAAATTCCTTGCATACAGACTGATTACAGTCTCATTTTACTATAGGGTACAAAATACAGCTTTGCAAGTATAGTCCAGAACAGGAGTACTTGGTATTTCTGTAAGGACCAAAATAGAGATATAAGGATTGTTTCACTGTCTGGTTCCACTCCAGTTTCCTGTTATTCATTATGCAGGTTTTGTTTACATCTTTATCTCTGGTCTGTGCTGGAGATAAATAGGAAATAAATGATTGTAATCTCAATGTGTGAAATCTCATGAAGGAATGAGAAGATGAATGAAAGACTATTTGTGATATTTTTAAGAGGTCGTTTCACATCCACAAACTTAAAAATGAGATTGTAAACAAAGAATTTATTTCAATTTATTTTCAATTTGTCAGTGGAAATTTTACTCTAAAATACATATATTATAATTCTGGAAAGTATGACTATGTCATGGTATTAATAAAATGTTGCTTATATTAAAACTAACTTCATGGTTTCACTCAGTCTTCAGAGAAATTATTACAACTGGTCTACTTCATCCCTTGAATGAAGCAGAATTAATTCCTTCATCCCTTGAATGAACCTTGAAGGTTCCAAACCTTATTTTTCACTTGAATCACAAACTGGTACTTTATGGATAGCTTATTACAAACCATTTGGAAAACCTAGCAGTGGGATAATAGCAGAGAATAGAACACTATGTTGCTGTATTGATTTAATGCCAGACTTCAAAGTGGATTTGAAAGTGCTGGATGGTCTAATTACTTTGAATTTTTTTTTGTGACTGCTAGAGGAGTGAGATCTCACTTTCCACACTTCTCCTGTGTACTGGCAATTCCTGGTGACTCCTCTGCCAGTTGTAAACAGTGTGGTAGGAAAGTCAAACTAACATCCTACAAATTAATGTGTGTTTTTGTATTTGCCAAACTTGTCTCCTTGTCCGGTCAAGTATTTCAGTTAGTGTCATTTATTTGCCTAAATTAAGTTTTTAGCTAAGATTTGGTTGAACTGATAATTTATTTATTACTCACAGTGTTTGTAGTATAAAAGAGCACCATTCTACACTAAAAGTAGATCTTCCATGAAATTGTGACAAACTCATTTTGGTGGAGTGCAATTGAGGACACTAAATTCTTACATTTTAAAATTTACAACAATATTTCAAGAAGTCATACAAAAGCAGTACCATATTTGCAGATTAAAATTTAGGAGAGCATGAAAGGTAAAGTAATTGTAATACCCTGGTTGTATTATAAACAGATACAGGTGCAATCGTAATTGTTTTCCTTCAGATAAGGATTCTAAAAGAGCATTTTGATTAAACTTCAGATTAGTTCTGTGAATCTATGATATATGAGGGTACTGAGAGGATTTTTTCTCACAGATTTTAATGCACACAGTGCTGGAATAAAACATACTCCCAAGTGTGAACATAAACACAACCCATTCTTAGAAATCCTATACCAAATTCACTTTGATTGAAATCAAATATGAATTCTGCCTTGCCTGATCTGACTCAATTCTGTTTTTACCTGGTTTAAATTGATGCATAAACAACTCATCAGTGACTTCTGAGGTGGGGAAGAGTATCCTAAGAGCAGTCAAGCAGGGGAAAAGCATTAGTACAAAATGGTGTGTAAACACACAATCCCTGCTGTCCAAATCTATACTAGAATAACTGAATTTTTAAACCGTCATGAAATACTCCAATAAATATTCAAAATATTCACCTTTGTAATGCACATGGGTTATGAAGTACTGAGATACTCTTTTATTTCCAGGTATTACATTGCAGCTACTTGAGTGACCATTTTTCACATTATGTCTGATAGATTGCTACAGCTATGTACCTGTGTGTGTGCTGTTCCACAGTGCTCATGCACAAGCCTTGATTGTGATTCTTACTGTGGAGCAGCCATTAGAATCACATCTTTCTCTGGAACATTAGTCATGGCTGCTCTTTAGCACTATTTTACTTACTTCCGGACAAAAGATACTAATCCTACACTACTTTTCATTTAGAATTTCTTAGACCACCAGTAACTTTGTTCCTTTTGAATCAGAAATTGTATCCTCATTTGGTTTGGGGTTTTTTCCCCATATCCTATATTGGCATTGAGTGATCCAGATGGTATTTCTGATGATTTCCAACAGGAGACGGCAAAGCAACAAGTTGCCTTTGTGCAGCTCTAGTAGAAACATAGGAGCAGTTTGTTGGAATGTATCTCATGAGAGGACATGGGTCTTGGATATGTGATCCAAGATTAGAGGATGTTTAGGTGTTGATGAATAAAATAAAGTGCAAAAGCTGTGGAAGGACTTGCAGGGAATTTTTTTAACATTTGGCTGAAATCTGTCCACAAGTCACAGAAGATTCAAGCCTGACTGCACAAGCAGTTGTATTTGGAGAATTCACTTCTAAATTGTGCTTTTGTTCTCATGTCCTGTTTGCCTTTTTCTCCATGCTTTATAGACTTCTCCAGCTTTTAGCACTGCCTTACAGGATCCTTCTGGAGTGGTAGCTGACACACTTCCCTGGTTTTCTTCTCTCTCTTGGCTATACCTTCAGTATGCCCAAGTCTTTCCTAGCACAACTTCTCTGCTGTCTTTTTGCTACTTCGTGCTTTCTTCATACTCTTATCCATACAGATAACTTCAGCTTTATGATTTTGTCTGCATGAATTGCAAGTATATATCTATCCAGTCTTGATTCTCTCCCTGCAACTTTCTCTAGATGTTTTGCCATAAATATAAAGTGGATTAAAAGGGCCTTTCATCTCAATAATTTCTTGCTTCTAGGTTCATATTGATGGGAACTGAGATTAATGTTTCATGCTGTTGTTTGACAAGTGACATGCATAAATTTATATGAAAGTGTGGTTTAAAAGTACCAGAGTTATTTAACTCACCTGTTTTGTGTCCAGTAGTTTAATATTATTCTTTCTTCTGCTACACAGGGTGTTCCTGTAATGGCAATACGAAACAAAATGATTTCTGAGGGGCTAAATCCAGATCTTCTTGAGTAAGTAATTTGTGACTCCCAGTAGGGCTGCAGATCAACTGTGTGTTTAAAAAACTTGGAAAAACTTGTGCTTAGAAAAGGTTGTGCAAGGTGTTGTGAGCTATAGCAGTGACAAGCTAGCATCTGAAAATGTGCATTTAGTAATGAGGAATCAACTAAAAGGTCAGTAGCCATTTTCAGTGCCCTGTGTAGACTATGAGGTTTTTTCCCAGATACTTGCTTTCAACACTCCAGTAAGAAAATGTCATTATTGTAGAGTAGTAAGAAAAAACTCTGTCTTATTTTGCTGGATGCATGAGGGACAACAGAGTTGTTTTCAGATTCCCTGAGTAGATGTTGTGTACAGCTTGACTTCAAAATTGACAGTGAAAATTGAAGTCAACAGTTCAAAATTCTGGCTGTTGATTGAGCTAATCTGATGTGTAAGAATAGATAGTAATTTTCAAAGTTTCTTGTCTGGCCATAAACATGAATTCTAGTCTTACTTTACAGATGACATTTAATTTAGTCCTGCTGTATTATTTCACAGATGTTGTTAAACTGAGGAAAATACTAACTTTATTCTTGCACTACAGACAACAAAACGTTCGAAGTATTTTTGCATTCTTTTCAGAAACTGTCAGGGTATTAAAAAGTCCATTTTTCCTTTCCAGTGAAGTCCTTTTACATTTTATAAGGGCTTATTCTGAAACTAGCTACTTGTTAAATAAAATAAACCTGAAGTATCATCATATGATGAGTCACTTTAGCTCCTAGCTACTTCCTGGTCTAGATAAGCCCAATATAGTTATTCCTCAGTTGTTTATTTACTGATTGAATGAGAAATTAAAAAAAAAGACCCAGTGCAAGTTGGAGATAGGTTTAGCAAACACAGGTTTTCTATATGTGTGTTAAATGTTTTGTATTTTTTTCCTGTGCTTTCAAGTCCATACCTTTCTATAAATGCTGCTATTTCTTCATGTTCGGGTGGATTTTTTTAGTACATAAAACAAAAAGATAATAGGTTAAAATTTTTAAAGCTGTTTTTTAAAAAGTGTATACTTTTGAATTGTCTATTTTGCATTAAGACAGAAACATTATTACTGTGGATTGAGGCTCATAGAGTATGTTTGAGGTTAGTTCTCAAAATCTATCCTCAAAGATCTGTGCAACAATAGTGCTTAGTCAGATTTTCTTTAAAATGTTATTGGTTTGAAAACTGGTTAAAGAAAGCTAATTATTTGGCAAGGTGGATCATGTTAAGGTATCAGGGTGACTTTTCAGATTTCTTGCTTTCTTGTTGTAATACTATAGGCTTCTTTTATATGTGTCTTGCCATTCACACTGCATTTCTTGGGTCTTCAGCTTCCTTAGGTCTGCTCACTCAGTCCCAGAGAAAATTAGGAAAATGTACACATGGCTGTGTGCTCAGTCACTTACTGCAGACTCCCCCAGTTCCTTGCCATTGGCTGAGCATGGCTTATTTGTGGCTGTAGATGTGCTAATTCTAATGATACAATATTGTTTCTACACTCTCCTCTTAGCTTTTCCACTTCTGTTAATGCTCCTTTCTCAACTTTTTACAGCATTTGGTAACTGCCTGTTCTAAGCAGTTAGGAAAAAAGCTCCAAATTTACCTGTCTTTAACTTTTGTTGCTTATCCTGCCTCTCTTGCCTGTCTTCAGTTCCAGAAGAGTTTGTCCTGCTCTCATGAACTAAAGGAATTCAGCACCATCTTCCTCTTCTTAATAAGTGAGAGGTTTTGCACTGGTCTCTCATATCTTTGCACAACTCTTCTATTTTGTCATTACCATGACAACAAACAAGGAATAATATTGTGAAGTGGTATTTGCATGAGAAAAGAAATGCTTTCTTCATTTGTTTTAGAGGTGTGCAGGGGGTAGGGAGAAGGCTCTTCTGCAGTTCTTTAACACACTTCTCATCTTTGAACAAAAAATGTTTAGGAACACTTTAAAGTTACCTTAGGGATTCCCAACAGAGAAATTATACTAAATAGAACTAATGTTGGAAAAGAAATTCTATACTCCCAAGATAAATAAGAACAGGATGATTAATACAACTGTCATCTTAGTTTAAAATGCAATATTTTATCCAAGAGATGTTAACTGTCATACAGGAAGTGAGTTTCCCTGAATGTCCTTTTCCCTCAAGTATAATTATGTTTGTATTTTCTATCTTGGATTCAGCGTTTATCAGGCTCTGTATTGCTTGTATGTCAAATTCATTACATACTTAGGAGGGAAAGTCCATGGAGAGCCAGCATCTTCAGGCAGTAATGTTAGTTTAGATGGCTTGCTTCTCTCACCTTCATTTCCAGTGGATTCCCCAAGCAAACATTTTGTCACAGTGTTAAGATCCACCCTAAATACTCTCTTTAAAACTAAATACAAGTGGTCTGATAATTTGTAGTCAATAAAAATCCCATGGCTGCTCTTGCATGTCAAATTTAACCCAATGTTCTAGCCAAATTCCACTCTGAGTAATTCGTTTTTGCTTCACTAAATTATCCCTGCAGTTTTAGTTGGATACAATATTGTTCATTTCCTGTGTTATTTTTTTCATGTACTATTTACACTGCTCAATGGTGTACAGAATGTTCCTTTCAGCCCTGCAACCTCTGAAGATTGAAAAAAAATTGAATTAATCATTATTGCCTGCTTTCAACTCTTTCTACAAGTGTTTGCCACTTCTTAATGATTTGTCATCATTTCTGATGGCATCAAAGGCGTGCATTCACATTGGTGTCTATGGAGTTTTGATGTCCAGTGTGTTGCAGTTTCTAGTGTTTGCTTTCCAGTTGCAGGTGAAGCAATACCACTAAGGTGTGAGTTTGTGAGCCATAAACAGTTAATGTGTTAAATGTTGTGGCAATAAAGTGCCTGCAGTTGTGATGCAGGGATAGTGGTGTTACGTGCTGAGCTGCTTGTGCTCTCAGCTGGATTGACAACACAGAATGTTTTTGTTGCCTGCAGGACACCAGATGCCCCTGTGCCTGCCTGGGGAGATGATGGCAAAACAGAAGACAGTTCTGATAGTGAATCTTCATTCAGTGACTGAAGAGACTGGTTCCAACCCATGTAAACCTTTGTTAAGTGCTCATGTGTTTGGAGCTTTGGCAGATAATGGTTTTGCGTGGATCACACGGATGACGTGGCATGGTTTGTCTGATGGTGTTTTAAGAACTAAGATCCTTCATATTCTATTCTGGAAAGTCTGAACAGGCAGCATGTTTCAACCTGAACCCTTCCCCCATGAAAATGAATCATGAGATCCTTGCAGTTTTCATGCTGCATCATGGCAGATTCATTTCTGTTTCTGCTGAAATTACTTTGTAGGGTTTTAAAAATCCCACACCTCTAAACCTCCATGTCTCTAAAACTGCATTCTGGTCATTGTTAGATTTTCCGTGTAACACATTTAACCTACATTGCCTTCTTTCTGCCCCATAACTTAAAGGTTTAACTTTGAAAAATTGAAGTGTTTCATTGATAAACTGTACCTTTTTTGCAATATCCTGTATCTGCAGTGATGCTACAAGAAATACATAAAAGTCAGCTCTTTTGGTGATTGTAAGTCAGTGATACTCAGATTTGAGAATAACTAAAATACAAGTGAAAAATATATTAAAAGCCATTTTGAATCTATTTTCAAAGCATATACTGCTATTCAGTGCCACATTAGAGCCTGTATGACGCCGTTAAAGGAACTTCTACTCTTGAAGGGTTGATTTATCCAATTCAGGTTGCAGTGTTATAGAAAGGTACAAACATGGCAAGATTGATTTGATAATGACACTGGGGAAAAAAGCAAGGGACTGAAAGATCATTAATGGAATCTCACTACTTGTTCACTGTTATGTAGGTCAGTTGAAACCATTTTCTGACTTAATTGGCCTTACTCAAAAGAAACTGTGGCTGAACAGTTTGCTTAGGGTGAGAAATCATCTCCAAGTTGGTGCATTTGCTGATAATTTAATCAAAGAAGCTAAAATTCAGGTTGTATAATGATAAAACTACCTTGGCACCTAATTGAGAAACAATATAAAGAAATGCCTGATGTGCCCTGAAGATTCCCCTCAAAATGACTTGATGTACTCCTTGACTTAAAAATTTTATTTCATTAAAGAATCTCCTTTAATACAATTTGTTCCACATGAAATCCTTTGCAATCTGTTTGAATTCCCCAGATTGTAGAGATTACACCAGAATGCTGTGTCCTAGGCAGTCATTAACTTTCTGGTATTTGACATTTGTGCTGTGACCAAGAGAAGACTAAAACTGAAGTTCCAAGTGTGTTAGCCTTTATGACTGGGTCAATACCTTCTCTCTTAGTTATTTGTGCCACTTCAGTAGGTTATAAGCTTTTCTTTTACCCTGCAGCTTAAGCATGGCTCCCATTTCAGCCTAGTAGACATATGCTCTCCATAACCTGTAAATCAGAGTAATGCCTTAATCCCTACAAAAGCATATATGCACTGGAGATTGTCTAGAGATGGTATTTCAGTGATGGGTTAATTATCATTGAACACTTAAAAAATGTACTTAATAGTTAACACTTAGTAAAACACAAAAAATATTAATGTATTAGCAATAGGTATTTCAAATGTAAATGTGATAATGTTATATCAGAATGTATATATTGAAACACTCAAGACTTTTTAAAATCTAAATTTGAAAACTCATTTAAGCAGTCTGTAAAATAAAAGCTATACTTTGTAAACCAAAGTTATGGTTTTATTTTCTTCCTATATCTTGTTCTAAACAAGACAGTGAAAATTCTTCCAAAGTCTCTGCAATTCATGTTTCTCTAGAATGAGCTTTGCTGAAGTTGTATCAGCCTGCTAACCAAAGGGAAGAGTTTGGAAATTGGGGTTTGGAGTTAATGTTAATCCATGTACCCCATAGTGGCACTCTGACTACAGGAGAACTGAGCATCACATAGCCACTGTTATAAGAAGCAAATTTAAGAAAGGCTGAAATTAATGTGTATTTTATGTTTTATACTTCTGAACTGACATGGACCTATGTAAGGAAGTAGCATGATTTAAAGAGTTGAATTGAGACATAGTAGTTAATTATTTTTCTTAAGAAAAAAGTAAGGTTGCCAAAAGACATTTAAGAAGATACAGCTTCAGTTGTTTAACATTCTGAAGAAACTTTTCTTTTAAAATAATTTTAGATTGAAAAGAAAAAACTAAAATCAATTGTCTTTTACACCACTGCAGATGCACTTTTATATGGAATGAAAAAGAAAGCTTCTGGCCTACAGACACTTGATAAAATAAGGGATAATTAATCAGTAATTATATATGTCACAGAATAAACTGTTTCATTAATAGAGATTGTGAATTTAAATGCTTAGGAATTGTATGATCTTTTCAGGGTAGATGACTTTGGAGTATTGCAGTGTTAGTAAACTTGCAGAAACAATAATAAAAATCTTGCCACTTTGTCTCCTCTCCCAGTTGGATGGTGACTAAATCTAAATGTCTGAATTGTGAGGAGCTGGGAAGAAAAAAAGATAAGACCATCCTTTTTACATTCAGTGTCTCAGCACCATATTGCTTCTGCTACCTTTGGAGCCTCTGAACACTTCAGGCTCTTCTGTTCCTAAACATATCCCTTTGCTCAAGCTGTAGCCATATTCAATCTGAGATGTTTCAGCTGACAGGAAGAGCTATTAAGTATGGGAAGGTTGGTTTGAGACTGAATTATGTCAGCTCTGCTGGTGCTTCTTGATCTGCAGCAGTTTTCTAGAGATGTGCTAACCCAGAAAGCTGGAAAGTCCTTAACCGCAACCTAAATACTGTAAGCAGAGAATATTCCAAGGTGCTCATTATTAGCCATCTGTTTTGGAATAGAAGATGGAGGGAGTATTTCAGCTTGGCAGCACAGTAATCAGATATATGTCATACTTTCAAGGGAAAAAGTCCATTTTTAAGAGACTTTTATTTTTAAAAGCTTCCAACAGAACTTTTAGAAGATACGGTATACATTAAGAAGTGTCAGTAATACACATCTAATCTACACAAATTTTCCATGGATTTAAACTCATCATCTGGGGCAATATTACAACTTGTAGGCATAAAAGCTACTGCAGAGTGTTGTTGAAATAACCACTGAATGCATCTGTTAATTCTAATTATGTACTACTGGTAAACTATATATTCTTTGTTTAAACAAACAATTTTAACCCCATCACCATATTCCTCATTTTGCAGGTGAATGGGAGTGCAGAATGCATAAAGATTAGTTTCCTAATGGTTACAGACATTTTAAATGAATATAGATGCCCTTAGATTAGATGCATGTCTGTGTTTTTGTAAGTAAAACCTCAAACCTGTCAAAGGCAAAAACAACATCTGGACATGATAACTTTATAGTGAAGTCCTGGTTTAGCAGTTGTAATCATGAATCTGTTCCTTCTCAAGTCTTCTGTTCAGCTACATTTGAAATGAAAATTGATGGTTCTTTTTCCAAGCTGAGTCTCTTCCTCTCTCTTGTTTTTCTTTCCACTGTGTGTTATTTACACCAGTGAGTAAGTGTATAGTTTGACATTCTGTGAAAAAAAAAATAGCAAACTATAGTCTGTACATGGAAAAAGAGAGTATCACTAAGATCAGCACTTTGAGCTGTGTGTGATCAGGTCAGTTTTGCTTTCCATAGTGTTACATAGCAAGAAACTTAAATTCAATCTGTCTGGAGATCCAGTTTTCACTCTGAAAAGACAAACAGAGGTAACAGTCTTATAATGATTTTGTCTGCAGAACAGGACATGTATTTTCTTCTGAAAATTGGGCATCCTGCTAGCAGGATGCCAAAATGTCCAAAGGCATTTTGGACACCAGGCATTTGGTGCCTGCAAATGCCTGCACTGGTGTCCAAAGTGTTACTTTCCTGATGCTTCATGTGATGGTGTCGCCATTCATGGCACTTTGCAAGCAAAGCATGGCTTGCTTAATTGTGCCTGGCTTGCTTAATTGTGCCATTCTATCTGTGCTGAAAGTCAGTACTGAGTGCCTTAAAGGAGGATGTGAGGAGCACTGCAGTGTTCCTGCAGTCCCTTTTCCTGCCACCAAGTCTTCACTCCAACCCTGAGCAGAGATTGATGCTCAGTACTAAATTAAAAGTTTGTTGGTGCTTCCAACAATAATTTCATTAATTTAGGAAGCTGTGGATATTCCTGCCTAGTGTTTGACTCACTAACTTTGCTAATACAATATTGTTTTAAGGGAGTTCCATGGGCTTGTTCATTATGAGGGTAACGAAGCAGAAAATGAAAATAATATTCTTCATGCCATACAAAAAATGAGTGACAGAAACAAGCTTAGCATAGGATATGTCACATTCTGAAGAGACAAGTCTACAGAACCATAAATTAAAGTGCACGTCATTGGGTGAGGACAGATGCAGCAAAAAGCACTTCATTTTATTTGCTTTTCAAAAAAAAAAAAAAAATTAGGTCTGTGTCTTGACTTTAATAGATTATTTTCTCAGTGTATTTCCCATTTTCAGGTTAATGGGTGGAAAGAAAAATTCTGAATAAACATTCACTTTGCAGACAGTTGGTTTTCTTTGCTTCAGACTTCAAAATTGGTGCCATCTCCTTGCAGGAATGAAACGGTAAATAATAGTATTCTCTGATTTAGGTAGCATACTCTTTGGCTCTCAAGCTCTTGTATATTCTAGAATATGTACTAGAAATCACTTCCTGTGTTTCATTATGGTCTCTTGCCCTGGTCTGTAGAATCAGAAGTTGTAGTAAAGTAAATGCTAGCCCAGTCTTTCACTAGAAGAAGCATTTATCTGAGTGCTGAAAATACAAGGCAGAACAATGGATCTGAGAGTAATTTTTTACATTTATGTGAACAGTTCTTTTTATAGGTGATTACCATCAACTGTTTGGTAAACCTTATCCTTAAAGTCACTTATATTGGTGAGAAGTTGAGTACACATGAACCAACCTGCTGTGAAGAATTGGACATTGGAAACAAACTTCCAAGGCCTATTTTAAATAGGCCTCTCAGAACTGTGATGATCCTTTTTGCTTTCAAGCAAACAATCTCTAGTGTTCAGTTGACTCCATGCTCCCAGCAGATTGTATAATCCTGGTGTGATTTCCTATAGACATTGGGAATCCTTCCCCAGTGAGAGCCAAACTGTTCACAATTAACACTGTGCAGTATTGATTTCTCTCTACTACTTCCCAACAACTCTTTGAAACAAAGAACAATTCTGTGTGCTGAGATGATCCTTTGGTCTTCTGGATCCAGTTCACCTATGTTTAAAGTAGATCAGAAGTAGGGAGGGAAATGAACAGAGGAAATTATTTGTCTTTTTCTCAGCTGTTTCATAATTTGCTTTTCCCTCAGGGGACAAACAGTATTTTTGTAAAAAAATAGATTAAGTGAAAAATGGTTCATAATGCTTTATCACATGTTTGCTGTGGTTTAAGAAACTGATATTAGAAGTTGTCTGCCTGCACAAAAGCATATGTCAAAAAGATAATTTCAAAACAGCTGAATTCAGTTAAAATATCATGGGTGGGAGTTTATTTGTAGTATCTTTGTTACTTTAGCTTCTCTCCACCTCTTACTAGGCTTTTGTATTTGATTCCTCTTCTGTTGAAAATGTGAGGTTTTGTTGCTGTTGTTTCAGCCTCCTAGCATATTTGCTCTTCAATCATTGTTGTGCTGGCCTATTACTATATTTGTAACCAAGCTGACTTTTGAGCTCTTCCATTGTACAGGATAACTCTGTGATAATTTCTGCATATTTTAATTGTGAGAAGTGTTTAGCTTGATTTACTGTAGAAAAATCATCACTTTATACACATTTGTCCTTAGTTTGCCTCAACTTTCAGAACCTCTTGGCTAGTTTTAGTCACATTTAGGTAGGGACAGCAGGAATGCATCCCAAAGAGTGGGGTTCTTACAGATTTGATAAAAAGTAAATAACCAAGTAAAAAAGAGAAAATATGTAAAAGCATTTGAGCTGAAGCATCCCCAGCTGAAGCCTTCTTATACCCCAAGCGATCCATGCCACAAAGAGGTGTTACCCAATACCCCATTCATGCTTTTCCCTGACATAGGGCCCGTTCAACAGAAGCCTTTAACCCCCTCTGGTTACAGTCCTAAACCAAACTATAGGATGGTCACCTGGATTTTCTTTATTCATGCCACATGTCAATCAGCAGAACACCACAACACTGATTCAGTGAGGTCTGACCTGCAGATAGAACCTGAGGTGCAGTAAACAGAGCTTCCTTTTTTCCAGGGTCTCCTGTGACATTTTATGAGCATAAGGCTGTGTGGACTGTAGCCCTGCTGTAAGAAATGCACACATGAACTTGCACCTTAGAAACCAAAGCCAGTCAGGCACATGCTAAAGCTTCCTAGGAAGTCAAATCCCTGAACTTCTTGCTCTAAGGATGCAGTTACTGAGAACTACATTTCAAAATGTGACCAACATGGATCAGGAGAGATGCCATGCTTTTGTGGTGACTGAAGCCTTGGCAGAGAGGACAGGAACAATAGGACAGTTCTTCTTGGGAATTATTTATATTGTGCTCACAAGTGGACCATGCTGTGCTGGTGTTGTGTAAGGCAATCCTCAGGAAATCAGGTGGTAGTACAAACTTTTCTTTTGCCGTATAAACAGAGTGTGTTCCATAACTGAACTTGTCTTTCTGCTGTTAGGGATGGTTTTTTCCATTTCAGTTATTGTGTCTAAATCGTCACACATAGCAGCCCACCCTGCACTAACTGTTTTTTCCAGGATCTGTCCCTTCTGAGCATCCATCCCTTCGCTCCATCACATGCTGTTAGTCTCCTGGTGTTGCAATGAGCCTCAGCCACCAGCAACACCAAACACAGCTACCCCAGTCAGGCCCCAGCTGGCTGCTGCTCCGCGTTGCTAATCTCACCTCACCCGGGGGCTGAATTGCTCAATCTTGCCCAAGTATTTGACATTGGATTCTTTTGTCAGATGCCTTTGCTGGGACAGTGTGATAAGTAATGGACAGGCTGTCAGGAGCAGGCTTTGCCAGATGACACACAATGGGGCTCTGCTGACCCAAAAACTTGACTTCAGGAGCCGTGAGCCCCACCTTCCCCTGAAAGGGCTTCCTTTCTGAAAAGAGGTTATGGTTTGTGTGTGTCTGTGTGTGTTAGCTTTTAGTATATCTCTGTTGGGCAGCTCACCTACCATTTAATTCACACACTGAGCACACAGTCCAGCTAGAGCCACAATTAATGTCACATAGTCAACTGAGGTAGCAGCCATGCCATTTTGGATGCCATACTTTGGCCATTTTCCAGCAGGTATCTTCACTGTGGGAGACTCCTTATCACACAGGAATCACCTTCCAAGAAGAATGCCCTGTCACACAAAAGAAATTTAGGATCAGCAGGCATTTGCTTATCTGTTGCAGGTTTTGTATCTGTCAGTTGC